CTGGCGTGGGACACGGACCCTCGTATTTCGACAAAAAAAGAGGCTCGGGAGGGCGCCCGCCCCTCTAGGCGCTCTGCGGCCCCTTGGCCGGCCCCGCCTGTCAGCTGGCAGGCTGACCGGGCTCGCCTGCCCCAGGCACGCTGGCCTGGCCAGGCCAGGCCAGGCAGTCTATTCGCGCGTCGCGCTCCGTGGGCGGGCCTTGCTAGAGAGACGCGAAGCAAGCGGTAAAGTGAGGGGAGCCAGGCCAGGCCAGGCCAGCTCGACCAACACCGGCCCCCTGCAGGCCTGGCGAAGAGACCTTCGATTCGCCACCACATCCATTCGCACTTGCCACCGCACCCTTGCTTCGCCTCTCTCTCTCCGCGACCGCCATCACTCGTCCGCGATCCCAAGTTCCGACCCTTTGCCCGTCGCTCTGCGCCTGGTGCTGCTGCGGAATCCTCGCCTTCGACAGTGTGAGCCTCTCGTCGCATCCGTCGAGTCTCTTGCCAAGCGCACGGCCCAATCCGCAACGCGAGGCGCGCCGCCCAGCACCAAGTCGTTGCGCCGACCCCTCGGCGCGTCCTGCCAGACTAGGTCGTGGGCGGTCTTTGCTGCGGCATCGAGCCCTTGATCTGCTGTGACGATGTACATCAAGACCCTGACCATCCAGGGCTTCAAGTCCTACCGCGACCAGACCGCCGTCGAGCCCTTTTCGCCCCGCCACAATGTCGTCGTCGGCCGCAATGGCTCGGGCAAGTCCAACTTCTTTTCGGCCATCCGCTTTGTTCTGTCCGATGCCTACACGTCCATGTCGCGCGAGGAGAGGCAGTCGCTCCTCCACGACAGCAGCACTTCGACCTCGACCACGCTCTCGGCGTTTGTCGAAATCGTCTTTGACAACAGCGACAACCGCTTCCCCACTAGCGGCAGCGAGGTTATCCTCCGGCGCACCATCGGCCTGAAAAAGGACGAGTACAGCATCGACCGCAAGAGCGCCTCCAAGGCCGACGTGGCCAACCTCCTCGAGTCGGCCGGCTTCAGCCGCAGCAACCCCTACTACATTGTGCCCCAGGGCCGCATCACCCACCTCACCAACGCAAAGGACCACGAGCGGCTCGGCCTGCTCAAGGAGGTGGCCGGCACCCGCGTCTACGAGCAGCGCCGCTCCGAGTCGATCAAGATCATCGAGGACACCGACGCGCGGCGTTCCAAGATCGAGGACCTGATCGACTACATCGAGAATCGGCTCAAGGAGCTCGACGACGAAAAGGAGGAGCTCAAGCAGTACTACGAAAAGGACAAGGAGCGGCGCTGCCTCGAGTACGGCATCTACCAGCGCGAGCTGTCGGACGTGGCGACCATCCTCGAGAACCTTGAGAGCGACCGGCGCCGCGAAGTCGACAACGCCAACGCCAAGCGCGGCGAGTTTAACGAGCGCGAAAAGATCCTCGCAAAGCTCGAGGGCGAGCTGTCGACCGCCAAGCAGCGCATCGAGCAGCAGAACCTCGAAAAGCACCAGCTCGAGCAGGAGCGCCGCGAGCTCAGCAAGGGCCTCGCGCAGCTGCAGAGCCTGGTCGAGGACCTCGAAGAGGCGGGCGAGCGCCGCGAGGGCAGGAGGGAGGGCATCGAGCAGGAGCTCGCCAACATCCGCACCGAGATTGAAGCCAAACAGGCGGAGCTCCGCACGCTGACGCCGCAGTGGGAGGCCCTCCGTGGTGAGACCGCGGCGATCCGCGAGCAGCTCGAGCAAACCAAGGCGAGGATCGCGGCGCTCTACTCCAAACAGGGGCGATCTGCGCAGTTTCGAACGCAGCGGGAACGCGACGAGTACCTCCGTCGCCAGATCTCGGACCTCGACCGGTACACCGAGGCGCAGCGACAGCGCATCGAGCAGAGCGCCAACGAGCGGCGGGCCGACGAGCAGCGCAAGGCCGAGGTGGCGGGCCGCGTGTTGGAGGTCGAAGCCTCGATCGAGGGCCGAAGGGACCTGATCCGCGACCTGGGCGAGCAGCTCACGTCGAAGCGCGACCGGCGCGATGAGCTGACGGAGACGAAGAAGGACCTTTGGAAGGAGGAGACCCGCCTCGCCTCGGCCGCCGGCTATGCGCGCGACCAGCTTTCCCAGGCGCAGCGCGTCCTGTCCAGCATGATGGACAAGGCGACGGCGCAGGGCCTGCAGGCTGTCGAGCGGATCGCCAAGCAGCTCGGCCTCGAGGACCGTGTCAAGGGTCCCATCCACCAGCTCTTCACCGTCGACGACATCTACAAGACGGCCGTCGAAGTGACGGCGGGCGCCAGCCTCTTCCACGTCGTCGTCGACAACGACGACACCGTCGGCAAGATCCTCGATGTCATGAACCGCGAAAAGAGCGGCAGGGTGACCTTCATGCCGCTGAACCGCCTCAAGCCCAAGAACGTCGACTTTGCCCAGACCAAGGACGCAGTGCTGATGCTGAGCAGGCTCGACTTCGAACCGGCGCTGGCGCCCGCCTTTCAGCAGATCTTTGGCAAGACGATCATCTGTCCCAACCTTGACGTGGCCTCGGCCTATGTGCGCAGCCACGGCGTGAACGCCATCTCGCTCGACGGCGACAAGATTGAGCGCAAAGGATCGCTGACCGGAGGCTACCACGACCCCCGGCGCAGCCGCCTCGACGCCACCAAGCTGACCAAGCGCTGGCGCGACGAGCTCGAGCTCAACACGGCCAAGCTGGACGAGATGAAGGCGAAGCTGGTGTCGATTGAGCAGGAGATCACCGCGCTCGCGTCAGACACGTACGTGCTCGAGAGAAGGCGCGAAGAGGCCAAGAACTCGCGTGGCCCGCTGGCCGACCAGCTCGTCTGGATGCGGCGTGAGGCTGAGGACATCGACGCCCGCATCAAGAAGTCGGAGCGTCGCGAGGCGGACCAGACGCTCGAGCTGCGAGCCGCCGAGACGAGACGCAGCGCAATGGACGACGAGCTCAAGACGCCTATGGCCAGCGGACTCAGCGCAGTCGAGAGCGCCGAACTCGACACGCTCAACACCGCCGAGGACGCACGGAAGCGCGAGCTGGCCAACAAGAGCAGGTCGCTTGCCGAGCTCTCCAATCGCAAGTCGATGCTCGAGATCGAATTGTTCGAGAACCTCGGAAGGCGGCAAGAGGAGCTCAGCGCCACGCTCGAGGCGCTTGGCGAGACCCTGGTGGGCGGCGACGGTGGTGCTGCGTCCGCCGAGGACGTCGAGATGCGCAGGCGTGAGATCGAAAAGCTCCGTAGGAAGGTGGCGGACCGCGAGAAGCGGATCACGGCTGTCGAAAAGGAGCTGGATCGGCTGTCGCAGACCATGCAGGACGCCCAGGCCCGCTACGACAAGACGCGGGCAGAGCAGGCCGAGGACGCACGCGGCATCTCGCGGCAGCAGAAGAACGTCGAGCGCTACCTTGGCAAAAAGACGAGGCTGCTCGAGCAGAAGGACCGCTGCAACCGCAACATCCGCGACCTCGGCGTGCTGCCCGAGGAGGCGTTTCAAAAGTACATTGACGCGGACCCCGGAAAGGTGAGTTTGGCCGACGCCGCGAGCGAGGCACGCTGCCGATTCGGCTGCTGACCGATGGCTCCCTGCCATGCCCTCCCCCGTCGCTTCCCCTCGCCGATCGCCCGCTCCCCCTTGTCTCACCCACCACAGCTCCTCAAGAAGCTGCACAAGGTCAATGAGGCGCTCAAGAAGTTCTCGCATGTCAACAAGAAGGCGGTCGAGCAGTACAACAACTTCACCAAGCAGCGCGACCAGCTGCTGGATCGCCAGGCCGAGCTGGAAAAGAGCGCCGAGTCGATCCACGAGCTGATCGAGGTGCTCGACCAGCGCAAGGACGAGGCCATCGAACGTACCTTCAAGCAGGTGTCAAAGTACTTTGAGGAGGTCTTCGAGAAGCTGGTCCCTGCAGGGCGCGGGCGGTTGATCATGCAGAGGGCCATCGACGGCGCCAACGGCGACGCCGACGAAGACGAGGAGGGCGAACCGATGGACGAGGACGAGGAAGAGGAGCCCGAGGTCGGCACGGCGGCGGCGCTGCGCACGAAGAAAAAGTCGCAGATCGACAGCTACACGGGCGTCTCGATCAAGGTGTCGTTCAACTCGAAGCACGACGAAGGGCTGCGGATCCAGCAGCTGTCCGGAGGCCAAAAGTCGCTCGTTGCCCTGGCGACGGTGTTTGCCATCCAGAAGTGCGACCCAGCGCCCTTCTACCTGTTTGACGAGATCGACGCCAACCTCGACGCCCAGTACCGCACCGCCGTCGCCAACATGATCCGCGAGCTGGCGGAAAACGCCCAGTTCATCACGACCACGTTCCGACCCGAGATGGTGCAGGTGGCCAGCAAGCACTACGGCGTCCTGTTCGACGCGCAAAAGGTGTCGACGATCCGGTCCATTACCCGGGACGAGGCCCACGAGTTTGTCGAGGCCGCCAGCACCGACCAGACGGGCGCTGCCGCGCCGCGTTGAGCCGGCGCCGTGGTCCTCGGCCCTCACTACTTTGCAGTCCACCTCCCCCGTCCTGGCCCTGTTGTACTCTACGCCCGCCCCTTGGCCGCCGAGCCGAGAAGATATCCCCTGCGCTGCATCCTCTGGCGTCGCGACCTCGAGCCGATCTGCGGGCGCCGCTCCCAGCCAGACCCCTCGCCCCATGCCGAGCCTGTTGTGACAATGCGGACGCTTCGGGAGACAGAGGCTGCCCGTCCTGCCGCACGTACGCACGCACGCACTCACGCACGGGATGCCGTCTACCGAGTTTAAACACGGCAGTGGCATGGATGAGCTCTGCCGGACCAGGGAGACGCGAGGAGAGAATTGAGAAAGGGAAAATTGTGGTATATTGCCCCCCCCGCCTTTGAGACGGCTCATGGGCTGGCGAGTTCTGTTGTTTCGCTCAGCCCTTGCCGGGCCTTGGACCAGCCAAGTCGGCAGCCCCGCACGCGTTGCGGGATACCGATTCTCGGGCACCGCCTCGCGCCCGGCCGTGGGTGTCTCGCCCGAATCCCAGGCGGCCTGGGCGTGCCGTCGGCCAGCCCCGGTGCCCCCACCACCGGGCCCCGCACCACCACCACCACCACCACCACCACCACCACCACCACCAGCATCAATCACTTACCAACCACCGCCTACCTCCACCACATCCTTTGCCGCTCTCCTCTCGCCATCGTTTGCGATTGCTGTTTTCCACCGTCGCAACGTTGCGATCCCTGAAAGTGGCAGACGTGGTCAATCGGTTCGACCAGCTTTCCCTGTCTGCTCACCGGCCCGAGATCTGCCCGCACTGGCCGCCTGCTTCAGGCGCTCCGCCCACACAGCCGCCCGATCTGCGCCGCATGTGTACAAAGATCCCGCCAAATGGACGACTTTGACGACTTTATCACCCACGGTGGGCGGCCGGGCCAGCCGCCGCCAGAGGGCATCCAGTCGCATCGACCGCTTCATTCCTCGACCTCCAACAGCAACCGCGACCCCTTTGAGTTTGGAGACAGCCGCGACTCCTTGGGCCTTGGCACATCGGCCCTCTCGCACCACCCTCACCATCACAACAGCCATAGCAACCCTGCCGGCAGCGGCAACGGCCCCTCTCACGTCCTCGTCGACGCCGACGACCCGGATCTGCTCGGCGACGACATCGACGATTTCAGCAGCTTCCGCCCCGCCCAAAGCGGCAAGAGGCGACCGGACTACCCGCCCAGCACGCTAAGCTACGGCGCAGAACCAGACGCAGCGATGGGTCTGAGCGCCCCTAGGGCACCCTTCGGTAGCCACCCAGGAGGGAGCACCGACAGCGGGCTGCCCTTTGCCGCTAGCGCCGCCACGCCCGCAGGCTACGGAGGCGATCGCGGCTACAGCAGCGAAGGGCCCTTCGCCGACGCCTATGCTGCACGGCACAGCTTCAAGAGCATCGAGGCCGACGATGACCCGATGACCTCGATGGAAGACTCCAAGTTCTCGCCCTACACGGGCGCGGGGGGAGCTGGCGGAGCGGCGGCGGGGCCGGGCAGGGGGAACGCGAGGTCCGGGGCGGCCGGGCAGAGTCGGAGACCGCCAAAAGACAGCCCGCTCGACGGCCTGAAGCGAAGCTTCCGGACGCTCAAGGACGACGTATCATCGCTCGTCAGCAAGCAGAAGAAGGGCGCAGTGCTCGAGGGAGAGCGGGTGGTCCGGCTCAACGATCCGACCACCAACGACAAGATGAACTTCCTCGACAACTACATCAGCACCAGCAAGTACAACCTCATCACCTTCGTACCCAAGTTTCTGGTCGAGCAGTTCTCCAAGTACGCCAACGTCTTCTTCCTCTTCACCGCCTGCATCCAGCAGATCCCCGGCGTGTCGCCGACGAATCGATGGACCACGATTGTCCCCCTGGCGCTGGTGCTGCTCGCCTCGGCGTTCAAAGAGGTCAAGGAGGACATCAAGCGGCACCAGTCCGACTCGGAACTCAACGCGCGCATCGCCCACGTCCTGGACCCCGGCTCTGGCTCGTTTGAGCCTCGGCGCTGGCGCCACGTCCGCGTGGGCGACATCATCCGCGTCGAGAACAACGAATTCTTCCCTGCCGACCTGGTCCTCCTCAGCAGCTCTGAGCCCGAGGGTCTCTGCTACGTCGAGACGGCCAACCTCGATGGCGAGACCAACCTCAAGATCAAGCAGGCGTCCACCGAGACGGCCAAGCTGACCTCGTCCACCGCTGCCTGTTCGCTCCGCGGCCAGCTGGTCTCTGAGCAGCCCAACAACAGCCTCTACACGTTCGACGCTACGCTCAACATCCAGATCAGCTCCACGCCCGGATTCAGCGGCACGCCGATGAAAAAGGCGCCGCTGAGCCCCGAGCAGCTGCTGCTGAGGGGTGCCCAACTGCGGAACACGCCGTGGGTCTACGGACTGGTCGTCTTCACGGGCCACGAGACCAAGCTGATGCGCAACGCGACTGCCGCACCGATCAAGCGCACCGCCGTCGAACGCCAGGTCAACGTGCAGATCCTGCTCCTCTTTATCTTGCTGCTGGCGCTCTCGATTGCGTCGTCGATCGGCGCCATCGTCCGCAACACGGCCTACGCCGGCGAGATGAGGTACCTGCTGCTCAACGAGGACTCGGCCGGCAAGGCCAGGCGCTTCGTCGAGGACGTACTCACCTTTGTCATCGCCTACAACAACCTGATCCCCATCTCACTCATCGTCACGATGGAGGTGGTCAAGTACCAGCAGGCGATGCTGATCAATTCGGACCTCGACATGTACTACGCGCCCACCGACACCCCGGCGCTCTGCCGTACGTCGAGTCTGGTCGAGGAGCTTGGGCAGATCGACTACATCTTCAGCGACAAGACAGGCACCCTGACGCGAAACGAGATGGAGTTTCGTCAGGCCAGCATCGGCGGCATCTCGTTCACCGACGTCATCGACGAGAGCAAGCAGGGGACCGGCGAGATCGGACCCGACGGCCGCGAGATTGGCGGCCAGCGGACCTGGCACGAGCTCAAGGCCATCATGGACGGGCGCACTCCGGACGACGGCAGCAGCGCCGTGATCGACGAGTTCCTGACGCTGCTGGCCGTCTGCCACACGGTGATCCCCGAGCGCCAGGGAGACAAGGTCATCTTTCAGGCTTCGAGCCCCGACGAGGCGGCGCTTGTCGCAGGCGCTGAGTCGCTCGGCTACCAGTTCACCACGCGCAAGCCGCGATCCGTCTTTGTCACGATCCGTGGCGTAGAGCATGAGTTCGAGATCCTCAACGTGTGCGAGTTTAACAGCACGCGGAAGCGGATGTCGGCGCTGGTCCGTGGCTCGGACGGCAAGATCAAGCTGTACTGCAAGGGAGCCGACACGGTCATCATGGAGCGGCTCAGCGAGAACCAACCCTTCCTCGAGCAGACGACGGTGCACCTCGAGGACTACGCGACCGAGGGCCTCCGCACCCTCTGCATCGCGATGCGCGAGGTGCCGGAGCAAGAGTACCGCCAGTGGGTCAAGATCTACGACCAGGCGGCGGCAAGCATCAAGGACCGCTCCGAGGCGCTCGACAAGGCGGCCGAGCTCATCGAGCAGAACATGTTTCTGCTGGGCGCCACGGCCATCGAGGACAAGCTGCAGGAAGGCGTGCCCGAGACGATCCACACGCTGCAGAACGCCGGCATCAAGATCTGGGTGCTGACGGGCGACCGGCAGGAGACGGCCATCAACATCGGCCTGTCCTGCCGGCTCATTTCGGAGTCGATGAACCTTGTCATCATCAACGAGGAGACGCAGCACGACACCCACGAGTTTCTGACCAAAAAGCTGGCGGCCATCAAGAACCAGCGTACCGCGGGCGAGCAGGAGGAGCTTGCGCTCATCATCGACGGCAGGAGCCTCACCTTTGCGCTCGAAAAGGAGCTCTCGAAGGTGTTCCTCGAGCTGGCCGTCATGTGCAAGGCGGTCATCTGCTGCCGCGTGTCTCCGCTGCAGAAGGCGCTGGTGGTCAAGCTGGTCAAGAAGAACATGCGCTCGCTGCTGCTGGCCATCGGCGACGGCGCCAATGACGTCTCGATGATCCAGGCGGCCCACGTCGGCGTTGGCATCAGCGGCGTCGAGGGTCTGCAGGCGGCGCGCTCGGCCGACGTGGCCATCAGCCAGTTCCGCTTCCTCCGCAAGCTGCTCCTCGTCCACGGATCGTGGAGCTACGCTCGTCTCAGCAAGATGATCCTCTACTCGTTCTACAAGAACATTACCCTCTACATGACGCTTTTCTGGTACTCGTTCCAGAACAGCTTTTCCGGCCAGGTGGCCTTCGAGTCGTGGCTTCTTTCGTGAGTGCATAAAGGTCGGATGGGCGCGCGCCTCGCCGTCGTCGTTGCCGCCTGCTGACTTCGTCGTTTGTCGTTCGGGAACTCCGTTACTTCCCCCCTTTGGCCGTGGAAAAGCTTCTACAACGTCATCTTCACCGTGCTGCCGCCGTTGGTGATTGGCATCTTTGACCAGTACCTGTCTGCGCGCATGCTGGATCGGTACCCACAGCTCTACGGCCAGGTCTACTTCAACAAGCGGCGCTTCTGGGGCTGGACGCTCAACGCCTTCTACCACTCGCTGGTGTCGTACCTCTTCGTCACCATCGCCTTTTGGGGCTCGCCGCAGCTGTCGAGCGGGCACGAGTCGTACTCGTGGATCTGGGGCACGACCCTCTTCCTCGCCGTGCTCGTAACGGTGCTGGGCAAGGCAGCGCTCGTGTCGGATCTGTGGACAAAGTACACGTTCGCCGCCATCCCGGGCTCGTTCGTCTTCACGCTGGCCTTTACCGCCATCTACTCGCTGATTGCGCCGCGCCTCAACTTTTCCACCGAGCTCGACGGCATCGCCGGCAGACTGTACGGCTTCAGCCAGTTTTGGTTCAGCATCATCCTCGTGCCCGTCGTCTGCCTGCTGCGCGACTTTTGCTGGAAGTACTGGAAGCGCACCTACCGCCCCGAGTCGTACCACATTGTCCAGGAGGTGAGTTGGGACCGGAGCGGGGGCGACTAGCACACAGGAGCTGGACGGCGGGCTGACCTCTCGAGCCCCTCCTTGCACCCGTGCCTGCCTTTGACAAACAGGTGCAAAAGTACAACCTGCAAGACTACCGCCCGCGCATGGACCAGTTCCAGAAGTACGTTTTCACCGCGCCGTGCCACGAGCCTTTGCCGCCCCTCCGCTTTCCTTGTCCACATTTTCCGGGGCCGACGCAGCACCGGAACGCCAAACTGACATGGTACTCCCCACTCTCTCCCTCCACCGTCCCCCCATATCCACAGGGCGATTCGCAAGGTGCGAGCGGTGCAGCGCATGCGTCGGACGAGGGGCTTCGCCTTTTCCCAGACCGAGGGGTCGGCCGACCTGATCCGCAAGTACGATACCACGCTCGCAAAGGCCTCGGGACAGTAGGCTGCCCACGCCGCATTGTACCGCACCGGACCATTTCTGCATCGTGCCGACCGACCCGTCTGGTGTTGCCCATCCGCTGGTTTGCCGCTTCCTAGAGACGTCGCGAGAGCGAGCGGGTGCTGGTGCTCGAAGTAAGAGGGACAATTTTATAATGTGCTTTTGTTTTGCCTTGATGAGAGATGCCGTGCTGGCGCGGCTGGATGATGGCGGTAGCAGAGGTTGCAGACGAGACGATGCGGGTCCCAGCTGGGGACGGATAGCACTCATATATGGCTGTTGGCGGTTTCGACCAAGCTGACATTGGCATGCACCTTGGCGGCCATCCCGCTATGCACTCCTTGGCAGGATCTTGGCTAGTCATGCCAACTTCATCTTGGCACCCACGGCGGAATTTGCTTTGTCCGAGCTGCCCTTCGGGTGCCCTGTCTATCCATTGATTGCAAGTGCTGCGCCTTGCGGCCACCACCATCACGACAACCAAGCCGGAGCTGCTCTACTCTACAGATGTACAAGCGGTCAGCAAGCGGACAAGAGGCAGCTCGACTGGTGGCAGATACGTGCGGCAAGATAGAAGCAGGCACAGAAAGGAGATGGTCAGCGAGCTCCGGCTAGCACGATGACCGTACCATTTGCAAGGCTACACACCAAGCCCCAAGAGTAAGAGGCAGGGTGCGGAGAAGGAGGTGGCGGGGGGGGGGGGGGGGGGGGAGTCCGTTCGTGGAAGCGATCGATCGCACTGCCACCAAGTC